AGAATTAGTCTTGTGAACAGCCACGAGGAATCAGCCAGAAAGCTATTGCACTTTCTATCACTTCACTTCTGGTCTATCGTTTATAGGATGCCCTCGTGCAAAACACTTGAGACTTAAAGATAGCATGCCCTCACACTACATGGGTTAGCTTGCACTCTACCCATTTCTTTTAAAATTTACTTCAATGTAATTTGCAAAACTTTCTTCTCTACAGAAGCAGGCTTTTGGATTTTGAAGAGATGTCCATATATGTGTATGTGTCTGATCAAGGATTCTACAAAGCAATAACTGGCAAAACTCAAGGATTCATTAGTGTTATAGCCTAATAAAAACTTTCCAAGTGTTTTTCTTTCTAGCCCTATACAGCCCGTGCCTGCAATCTGTGCTGTGTTTGCCTCACTCATGATTTGGAATATGCCACAGGAATACAGCATGCACAGGCCAAGTATTGAATGAAAACCATGTATTATACCAGTGTCACTGAGAGTAACAACCTGCAAAGAAACAAATTCTGGTAACATTGTTAGGTAGCAGCAACAGCAGTGGATTTCCTACATGGTTAAATTTCTTGAGTAAAAACATTTTGGAAAATTTGGTGAAAATTAAAAATTTTCTGGGGAATTAATGTCCTTAACAGCAATAGTAAGGTTTCTATAGGGAATAGTGAAGATCGATCTTTAAACCTTTCCCCTACCATTCTCCTTTGTCACCTCTGGTTTTCAAAGCAGCAATGAAATTCTAAAATAATATATTGAAAATGAGCAAAAGGGAGATTTCTTACTGGAAAGTGCATGTACTGAATACTAATTTGTTTCAAAGTTTTCCTATGAGCTGAGCAGATCCGGAGAAATGCAGCCTATCAGAAATGTCCCATGGGCACAAACTGGGATTTTTGGTAAGGGGTAGTCCCTCTTTGGGCTCTAGAGTGGTCTGAGGGAAGCCAGTCATGAGTCAACTACTCAGTGTATCGATAGCATATGAGCTGCTGAGAGAGTTTGGATCATTGAGTACTCGTCCAAGGAGTTTCAGTGAAGATATTGTTGTTTACTAGAATTGCTTAAAGCTTAGTGTCTTGTGCACTGAATATTACACCTACTGATACTCAGGATGTGTAATGTTTTTGCTTGCATGGGTGAGCCTTTGCTTTTCCTTAGTAGCTGGGGAATTAGGGAGTTACATAAAGGTAAAACACTATTGCAATATAAATAATATAATGTGCTTCCATAAATAAGTTTGTCTATCAGATATTGCAAGTGGCTGCTGTCATGTAGACCTTTGATAACATAGCCCAGTCCTTTTCCCTGGGTTCACTTCTCATTCCAGAACTGTGCACCCTTTCTGTTCTCAGCCTGAGACCCAATGATCCTTCTCATATTTTGGGACAGCTTCTGCCATCCATTCTTGTATTTCTACCTTCCTGCTGCCCAATCATTGGCATTGTCATCTGGATATAGATATAAATAGTCATCTGGGTATAGATACAAATGTGTATCTGCCATGACAGTTGAATTCATACTTGTGGATTAGAATTCAGTATTTCCCTCCTGTCTGGACCTTAACCAGAGCTGACACTTTAGCGATCTTCAGGCTCACTTTGTGTGTATTTAGCAAACCTCATCTGTCAGGATTTGAAATGGAAGTAAACTTCCAGATAATTGGAAAATTTCATGTTTATTTTGGATTAAAGAATAAAAATATTAAAGCAGGTTGTCAAAGAAAGAAATAGGACCGAGAGATATTCTCCTGTTTTATTAGCACCATCTTTACAGTCCACACTCTCTCACGTGGCTATTTAATTTGTGATTACAAACACGATGATTTGAGCATTCAGATATATAATAGAGCCTAATGAAGGTTCTGACTATTTTATTCAGTATCAGTATAGCATCATAAATAGCTTCCATACAAATTACCATACTCTACTTAAATTATCATTAGTCAGAGCCATGGTCTCCCAGTGTCAGTAGTGAAATAAAAAAGATGAAACTTATTGCTCCATATCTATCAAGAAAGTGAACTTTAAAGGGCTTTTTATTTTATACAGTATTGAGTGTTTTATGGGAAGGAGATATGAGTCCAGATTCTCTTCTGGTGTAAAACAAGTAAAAGGCTGAAATTAATGAATTCACTTTACTCTAGACTGGCCAAGGTTGCTGCCACCACTCTTAAGGAAATCCATTGTAGGTATATTGCTACCATCTTATTTCTCATCCAGTTTTTAACAAGTGACATACTTCTTTTCCTTCATTCCTTCATTTTCTAAGCTTGCATCTCCTTTTGCTTGTACAATACTCCAGAACAGAGCATAAACTGAACCTGCAGGTCTCTATTAGCATCTGTTATGAGGCAGAAAAAAATGTTGCAGAACTACATAGAGCCTAGATTTAAGGGTGGCAATGTTAGCATGCAGAAGGATGTCTGCCCATCAGATGAGCAGCATTGACCCAGCCCATCTGACCGTTTCCTGTATCTCATTTTTACCTCCTAGGGCTAAAGCAGAGCCCCATTACTTGTGTTGGAGTAGGCATCTCAAAGAGACACATCTCCTCCACTCACTCCTGTTTACTTCCTTCTAGGACACCAGGAGGTATAAAACATTCACACGACCTGTTTTCTAACATGGTCATTAGTGGAAAGCCAAGCTGTGCCCCCACCTGTCTCCTGGATGGACCAGGATGTCTGATCCACCAGCCATGGGGGACACAGGAGAAAGCAGTGAGGAAAGCAGGGTGTCCAAGCACCCAAACTGCTGGGTCTGGGCAGCTGAAGCTGGTCTGGGTCCCACTGCTTTGGTCCTCCCCACTTGCCATCCCTGTGCCAAGTCACTTCATGGCCTGGCAGGAAGCTGGCCGGAGGCAGATGGGTTTGCATGGGGTTAGGAGGGTGAGGGAGTGAGGGAAGGCAGGAGGGGATCATCTGGCATGGTGGGCCAAGAGCAGGAGAGGCTGAAATGGCCAGCGGTAACAGCAGTGCAGGCTGGTGGAGAAACAAAGGCTGAGAGAGTTAGGTTTGTTTAGCCTGAAGAAGAGAAGACTGAGAGGGGATCTCATCAACACATACAAATATCTCAAGGGTGGATGTCACAAGGATGGAGCCAGACTCTTCTCAGTGGTGCCCAGCAACAGGACAAGGGGCGATGCGCACAAACTGAAATATAAGAGGTTTCAGTTGAATGTGAGGGTGAGAGAGCACTGCAACAGGCTGCCCAGGGGGGTAATGGAGTCTCCTTCTCTGGAGACATTCAAAGCCTGCGTGGATGATATCTTGTGCAACCTGCTCTAGGTGAGCCTGCCTTAGCAGGGGGGTTGGACTAGATGATCTCCCGAGGTCCCTTCCAACCCTTGCCATTCTGTGATTCTGTGAAGAACCAAATCCTCATGAACAGATGCTTGCATAGTTAATAAACCTTTCACTTTTTCCTTTAAATTATTTTTTCATTTGCATCCTGGATCATATTTATCAGAAACTTTTTTTTATTATTATTATTTTTAGTCTGAGCAATTAAAGACGGTGAGTCAGATACTGTTCAGCTCCATGTGTTATGCTGAGCTACCACAGAGGACAGCCCATTTTTCGCACAACAACAACACATCTTTCAGATCTTCCTAAGCTTTATTTTCAACCCTGTTGTTTCCTCACTGTGAAAAGATATTGCTATGACAAGACTATATTGCAATGGGGGTTGCAACAGGATTATATTGAGGAAATTTTTATTAAATTATAGTGATGTATATAGATTCACAAAGCAAAATTCTGCCAGAAGATAAATCCCATTCTTAAAACCTCCAGTACATTATTAGACTTGTAGCACACATGAGCTGGGAAAGATCTACAGAACCATGTTAAAGGGTCTTACAGAACATCTGATAGTGAGAAATCTTTATGGTTGATTTTTAACTGAATAATGGGTTTGATTTTAAAATACATCATATTCATCGGTTAGCTGTAAGATGGCCTCATGAACCATAGAGCATGGCTGTTAATAATATTGAGATATATAACTGTAAAAACAGAAACACCAGGATTTCTATCTACTATACTTTTAACTGCCTAAGGCTCCTCCTACTTGTGGATAGCCATTATTTATTGAGAGCAAAATGATTGACAAGGCATGAAAACACTCTCAAACGTGTTTTTTTCAGTAAGTTGTTAATTATTTCATTCTCTCTGTTTCTGTTTGTCTCCTGCCAGAAAATACAGGTGATTCAGGCAACTTTCAGACTGTACATTTTCATTCTTTGTCCTTATTACATAGCTTATGTAGATTAACAGAGACATTTCTAACTTTTTATTTTAACTTTTACCATAAAACAAATACTTTGCCTAAGAATTGAATCTTATTTTACCATTCTAATTCTTGGATTTATTTTCTCTCTTCTGCTGTGTTTTATAATACCACTCTGCAACCAAGAAAAATGGAAGACTAAAAAACAAGTAACAAGTTCTATAAAATACAGAAATTAATGCATTGAAGCTACAGACTCAGTCCAATTGAATATTTACTGTAATAGAGAGAGATGAAGAAGAATAAATATTATTTATGCTTTAACATAACTTTATTCTCTTTATCTTTCATCAGGGGATCTGAGATATAATTCTTTGTGAGAATTTCAGTGTCAGTACAGTTGTTCCAAGATTACCATCCATCTTATAGTAACTTACCTTTTGCCATCATTTTTTTGTCTTTGTGATCATTAATTCTTAGTCATTAAATATTCTTCCACACATTGAAAATATTACTAAGGTAAGAATACTTCTTAATCACAAAACTAAATAATGCGGGATTCTCAGGTGTTACTGTATTGTTATTTTAAATCTATTTTAAATATAACATGCTTTTACTGGTTACACTGGTTTTTTCTTGCATTCGTTTGGAAATCACAGTGTGTACATGTTCATGATGACTATTTCTGTATCACAGCAGATTCTGGAAGCAGAAATGTGTTCTTCCTGAAACCTCTGAGCTAGTGAAGGTCTAAAATTCTTTTTTTTTCTTGAAGAAGTTTCCATTTGAGAAAGTGACTAATGATCTCCTGTGGGACTATATATTGGAACAATTTCTTTAAGCTTACCCAAAGTAAAAGGAACAAGCTGATGCCTCTGGTATGAATGAATTAATTTTCCTTTATAAATAAATAACTTGCAAGTATCCAAGTATTCATTCAGCCTTAATAAAAGTTTTGTAACAATCAAATTTACCCTTTGATTTTCATAACACTTTATGCTGAGTTTCCAGCACAGTGGGGAGCTCCATTCTTGAGAGAGAAGAGCAAGTCTGTTCTAGAAAGATTAAGGATTTGTGTATACCCTGCATACTTCTAGTGGTTTCTGCTTTTCCTTAGACTACAAAGTTAAATGACTAGCAGTTTTATTTCCTGGCTAATTAATGACACAATGCAACCAGAATGCAAGATTTGTTTCAGGGGAAGGCAAGATTTTTGAGTTTTCCTTTAGTTATAGGATACCAGAAAAAAAAATGCAGTTGCAGTAGATCACAGACTAAGTGTGACTAAAAAAAAATCTCACCCTGTAGCTAAGCAGGCAAATCTTACTCTAGATTGCATTCACAAGAGCTGACAATGATGTGGGGGGTAATTATTCCTTCTACTCGATCCCAGTAAGATGGGAAACATTTTTGTCCCTTCCGTTGCTACAAAATGTTATTGCAAAGAAGATTATTTTAAATTGTTCTTCAGGGCCAATGGGGTAAGAACAAACATAAACTAGCTTAAATTTCACCAAAAGTGACCTCACTGAGGATAAGAGAAGGCTTCTGTTTGGCTGTTAAAGCACCAAAAGTGTTCTCCTATGGAAGTTGTGAAGTCTCCTTCACTGGACATTTTTAGGATGGGTTAGACAAAGAGCTGTCAGGAATTATCTTGGTGTAGACCGTTGATCAGCTTCAGCCCAAAGGACTAGAGCAGATGGTCTTCCAGGGTTTTGTATTTCTGCTGTTCTATGAATCTGATTGAGATTGACCAGCTGGATCTCTTCTGGCTACAGTTCCTGTTGCATAAACTCCTTTCTTGCTGTATAAACTTCATATTTATAACACTGTGAGTGTACAGGGGGTCAATGAACTTCCTGTTATTCAAGTAATCTTCTCACTGCTGCGTTTCTGGGGGCAAATTTTCAGTGCCCCTCTCTAATTGCATGTCACAAGTCTGAGCTGAATAAAGTCAACTTAGAGCCCTGATGTCCAGTGCAAGTGCTGACTCCTGCCTCTCTCCTGGCTGTGCTCCTACTGCCAGAACCAGCAGCTTTCTGCTGCCAGATATCCCATCTCTTCCTTTGGCAGCAGGATCAAAAGAGATGTGCTATTTTCAGAGTTTCTCCTGTAATACAATCATGACATAGAGTATGAAACTGCTGGTTAAACTCCTCAAGGCATTTGGGGAAAGGTTCTTGGAAGTGTCAGTGTTTCTTTAGATGTGTTAATGTGCTATGGTGGCTCCTCCTAGCAAAATTTGCCACAGTCTGAGAGGTGCCTGCAGGCCCTCTCTGACCTGGTCTATCAGGCTGCCTCACACAGCGAGGCAGGGACAGCCCCACACGTCCTCCCTATCTCATAACACGTGCCTTACGTGTGAGGTGCAGACGATGACAGCCGGGAGCAATCTGTGGCAATTCCAGGGAGAGATGACACCTGGGTCGGTCTCCCTTGCTGTCTGCATGCAATCCCTGGCATGTCATTGCAATGCTGAGCATAAGAAAGCTATGGTCTCCGGAAGACGTAAGACTCTCAGTCTGAAAAGTACAGAAGAAATAAACTGGGACTTCAGCTTCTCTTTGCTAGTTTAGTCATCAAAACGCAACCTTTTGCTTTGCCTTATTTTAGAATTGTCCAAGTCCACAGTCACTTATGTGCTCATTAGCAAAGTCCCTAAAGTTTTACCTTTGAGTATGCTGGAAATGCCCCATTTTTAATACTCAGTTCACAGGAGCCAGTTGATGCAAAACTCCCTCAGGCTTTTCAGATGAGGTCCTCTCCATCTCTCTTGTTCAAATGACAAATATTTTCAGTCCACATCTATTAGAAAAGGCCCTGTAGAAAATATAGGGGCTGGTGGCACTTGCAGTGCCTCAGAGCTGTAATAACTTTCAAGAGTCTGAGCCACCACAGAAGGAGGAACAAGACCTAGAATACATTTTCTAAGAGAGTACCTGATAGTAGACTGGAGTTCTCTTAACTTGCACTTTCCAGGGAATAATTAAATATTCATTAGGTCAGAGGAAGGGAGAAAGAACAAGATGAGATTAACACTAAGTGGCTAAGCCTTAGGTTTCTTGTGGAGCAGAGTACTTCTTTTCAAATATTTAAATTTTTAATTGGAGGAGAGAGCAGAAAGTGAGATTATTCTCTTCTCCCAGATGACGATCATAAGAAAGCAGTGAGCTGTAGTGACATGTTCACTCCTGTCTTTTTTCTAGGGCACAAGGAATATTTAATGATTCTACAAGGATGGATATTGCTTCTACAAAAGCGACTGAGAAGAAGCCTCTCTTTTCTATCCCAGGGTATCATCGGCTCCAGTGGCTTGGGAGTGGAAAATGTAGGTTCAACCACCTTATAGCACAGGAATTAATCTATTCTAGTTGCACTTTTTTTTGCATAAATACTCAGATAAGTCCACCTATGGAAGAGAGCCACTGCTAAGGCCATACTTTGTGGGATGGACTGGCAAAAGGGCCTCACACCAAGGTGAAGTTGGGTAGTTTGAAATAAATACGGGAGTAGGGGACTCCCCACAGTCTAGAGATGTGATCTAAATCTTATCAGTTTCTGTTGGCTAACATGTGCCACCTGTTTAGCTTGCTGGATTTGGGGGAATTGTATGCTTGGAGCCCACATTTTTGCGTGCATTGCATGTGAAGCAATGCATGCAACTAGCTGCATAACTCGGGGCTGAGGTATCCTGCCAGCTGGGTCCTTTAATAATGAGTTAAAACTTCCTTGTGAGCCTGGCTCCGGATTTCACATTTTCAGTCTCCACTGTAGATGTCTGTATTTCAGGAAGCAAAGACATAAGAACTGTTGCTATTTTATATTGTTGCTAATATGTCAAGGTTTCTGGACATCTTCCAGAGGTGAGTGTTAGCTCAGTGGGTCAGTTGCCAAGAAAACTCCACTTCTTGCACATACAGGTTTTACTTTTGTGATTCATAGTGTCATTATTTCAATGGATGTAGCCGTCACAAGAGATTATGGCCAGATTTACACTGCCCTTCAGGTAACATGAATCTAGGGAGCTGAAGTCTTGAATGGGAGCTGGTATTTATAGTCTAGTCAAACAAGACTTAGGCACCAATTAAGTTCTCAGGCGAGCCCTCTCAGTGGATGTTGTATGTAACTGAATGGCTAACTGGTCTGAAGCCATTCAAGCTGGTGATTAGGTATAGAAGACTTTTGTCACCAGTCACAAATTTATGTGACCACAAATGGACCGCAAGTCCCCATGGGAGAGGACTGTCTGCAGTCACGCACATGAAAGGAACTCTTTCCTAGCCACGACTCTGAGTATTCACACGCAGAGCTCGACATTTTCAGTGTTTATTCAGCTTTTCAGGGGAAGAGGAGACAAACAGGTCCTTGTAAAAAATGAAAAAAATATTGAAAGAAAAGAAACTGTTTGTTTAAAAAAAAAGACTGTCTTTTAGAAAATTAACTTCAACAAAGCATTTCAGCTCTTCAGAACGATATGAAAGTGAGTGATTCAGTTCCATATGAAAATAGTGTATCAAAGAGAAGAATATTACCTTTAATTGCTCCTCTGCCATGCCATTTCTGACTGCTTTCCAGAGTTTGAGAAACATTCAGCATCAGCAGGGTGAATCATCTGTGCTGCATACAGCCCTGTTTGGCAAACTGCAGGCAACCGTCTCCTGGGACTCTGCTCCAGTTTGCACGTTTATCCCTACTGGAGGCCCTAGCTAAAATAAGGAACACCACATCTGCAATGTGCATTTATTCTTCTTCCTGACAAAATAAGAGTAGATGAATATAAAATAGTCTTTGAAGGGCGGGATGTTTGGGGAGTGAGGATATCTGAAAAATAATCTTTTAAACTTTCTGAAGGCTGGTGAAGAGCACGAGGCAGAAGTGTGGTCAGCAGAGGAATTTATGTGGAAACGTGCTGGATTCCTTGCAGGAAACACAAAAGGGTTTATATATTTGGAGTCAGAGGTTAAATTAAGGGTGAACCCACTCTAGTGGAGTTTATTCCTCACTTCTAATTTGGGGAGTTTACTCACTTCTCACGAATGCCAAAATAATAAAGTTTATCCACACTTCATTTTCTATTACTCAGTCGTTTGCAGAGTCGCTAACCTGCCACTGTTTCTTTCTTAAAGATACTGAATTTATCCCAGGACTAGAAGCTGACATTCTAGGAATTTTGTAGAATGAAGTATGCCATCTACTAAGCAAAGTAACTGTAGTGGAAAAAAAATGCCGTGTTTTCTAAGAGGCTGTTGAGCAGTGTGCAGCTAAATCTGGCAAAGAACTGAATGTTTGCATTTTCCATTGATGTCAGCTCTCAGGACACGGTCTTATAAATGGGAAGCTGTCTGAAGAAGTATTGCAGACTAGCAGTGAGTGGGTAGATTTAAAATAGATTAAGAAATTAATGATATAAGGGAACACATAACCTGAAAAGATGATAGTTTTAATGTGTCTTGGTACTTTGCTATGCATTTAGAGTCACTCTACTAAGTGTATTGGGTGGCTTTGCAATGTTTATAATGAAAAAACTCTGCTACATCAATCCCACAACCCAGAATTATTTTAATTGTTCTGATAGGCAGGTAATTTGGAGGTTCTATTTCCCTTCAAATGTCCTAATAAATGGATATGATTCTATAATCAATGTGAGCACATCTCTAGTCACTCTTCTGTGACTACTTGAGATTACCTGATCTAGAGAGATGGAATGGCATTGATTCTGTTGCTTCCAAGGATGCCTCACTGAATCAGTCTGTTCCCTTCTTGACAGGCTGCTTTCTATATGTTATCCCCTATAACTGAACACACTGGACTTTGAACTGCCAACTCTATCTAAAATTTCATGAAATCTATGTTATCTGGAATCAGTTCGTTCACTAAGTGGAAGTCACCTTGAAATGCTCTGGATGTCCTTGATTCCCTCAAATATGCATTTGATTCCCTAATTCAGTGATTATCGCTTGTAATAACATCAAGGGAACTACACAAGAAGACGAAAAGTGTTAATGATGGCTCACAAAGGGAGGTTTCCAGCAGCAGTTTGATCAAAAGAATCAAAGTCAGTTCCCATTTAAGACCAGGAATAAATTGCGGAGCTCTTTTTAGCTATTCCAGCTTGTGACTCACTGTGCAAAGCAGTGTTGGCTCTAAGATATCTTTCTTTTTCACCCAGCGATAGAACTAGCCTGGGAACTAAAGAGCAGCAGGATGCAAGGAACTATCAGCTATGAAAAACTCACAGTTTATGGAACTTTTTAAAATAATAAACTGAAAAGCCAAACAAACAAAGGTTTCGCTTTTGTCTTTTTTTTTTTTTTTTTTTTTTTTAAGGAGGCTTCTGGTTTTCCTTAATTTGTTCTCCAAATCAGATTTACCTCAGAAAATGTAGTCATTTTTCAATTTGTTGTGGGTTGACAAAAGTGCTGGCTTACTCACTGCTTTGCCCTACCACTGATTTTCTTTCATTCTGTAGAGGGCTGAGATCTTGCATTCCCCCAAAGGAAGGATTCTGGATCAGCTGGGATGACATGTTCTCATGGAAATATTCAAATAGGCGATTATTATGTGATACGTCCTTACATGTTCTCAGAGCTTGCTAAGTCATATGATACTGCGTTCTCCTGTGGAAAAGCCAGCCTATAATCTTCCCTTCCCCCATTTCGTGGGAGACTCTAAGAAGACAGTTGAGATATGTGCAAAGGGTGTGGGCAATTTAGGTCAAATACAGGGATGAGCTAAGGCATTTTGTAATTTATGCATTGCTGATGGGGTGTAAGTTACGCTGGATGGCTAGATCCTGTGAGTTCCTGGCAGTCACTGTCTTGAACAAAATCCAGCTACTTCATGGCAGTGTCTAGAGAAAAGCAGTCACGGTCTCCCTGGTCTCTTTCCTCTGTCGAGGGGTGTACATGTGCTGGTTAGGCCCTTGAAATAAAAAAGTTTTCAGATCCCTGAAACCCTTTGGCTTTATGTCAGAACAGGAGGGAAAAGAGGGAGAAAGAGGGTGCTCGAGGGAAGCTGCATGTGTGAGTGTCTCTCCCATCTGTCCCATGAGGAACAGCCTCCAAGGGCTTCCCATTCCTGGAAATGAATGGATTTAACAAAAGTCTGGCACCTTCACCTGTAAAACCAGAAAATAACACTGCCTACTGTGTGTCAGTAACAGGAATACCCCATGGCATTCTTCCTCAGATTTCAAACCTTAGGGTTATTCTGCTGCACAAGAGCTGCATGGGGAGGTAATTGTCATTACCCATTGCAATGTCAATGTAACTGCCTCCTTTATCTCTGTGTACTATAAAGGTGAAAGGAGAATGAATGCCCAAGCCATAAAGTCTTTGCTTGTCCTTTTGAATTCCTCAAGAAGCGAAGCTAGCTTTATAGTCAAGCTTTACCAATGATATATCTTTGCACCACTTCACTGCTTTAAAAAGTAGCAAGTGTGTCTACATTTTTTTTGGAAATGCATAATACGAAGTCAAGAACAAATATATTGAAGATATATTAAGATTTAGGTGGCCTAATCTAAATATTCCATTCTTTGACTATGATTTCAGTCTTCTGGGTGATTTGTACAATAGATAATACACAATGCAGCTGATCACATTGATTATTGCTAGATTCCAGAGGATCTCTGCCGCTGGGCTGACAACCAAAACATTTCAACAAGAAAACTTTTCCAGGAGAATGTTATACAGAGATCTCATGAGGGACTATCAAATCCATCAGAATATCCACATGTTGTCAATAAACTTCGGCCTAAGAGTTATTATCCAGACTGTACAGAGGACACTTTAACTAAGGAAACTTATTTCAATATTTTTGCACCATTAGGCCCTGGCAGTTGCATATAAAAGTTCTCTTAATAAACTCTCTTATTAACTGCTTCATGCAGTTTGTGATAGTACACCAGTATATATTTGCTTTATTTTATACCACCTGTCTTCTAGGAATATTTTCTTCTGCAGGAAAAAAACTCCAGCTCATAGAAGTACGTTTAAAAAACAGGTTTTAGTCTTCCTTCTTAAGTGCACTTCTAAGTTCCACTGAATACAGACAGATATGATCAAATTATTTTTTTGTTTGTTTGCAAAATGTCCATGGAGATATAAACAGTGAATGTAACATGAAGGCAAAGCCACAATGGTGTTATTCTGGTGAGAGAATCAACTTGGGCTGCTAGGTGGATATCAGGGAAAAAAATCTGATTAAAAGTCATTGTAAAAAACTCTTTTACAATGGAAACCTTTTTTCAATTTCTACTGCAGAAGAAATAATATATCTCTGGTAATGCTTGTTGAAAAGTTGTTGCCATGAAACTATGCTGGCCAAGAATAAAAAAAAATCTCTGGCTTGGCTTGGCTTACAGAGCTATGCAAGGAAAAAGAACATACAAAGCACACTTTTACCCTCTGTATTGCCTGTGCCTGTAAGAAGTTACAGCCCACACACAAAAGGGGCTTCTTAGAAGTGTTACTTCCAGTCCTGTTCAAAAGCAGCAAGAACATGGTAGACCCTTGACTGCAATCATCCCGATTTGCCCAGGAACAGGCTAAAGGAGTTACTATCAAATGACATGAGCTGGCCTGGAGGAAAAACTCTCCTCTCAGATAGCCCAGTAATGCTGTGATCTGCTGCCAGTATTATATATAATATATAATATATAATATATAATATATAAATATAAAATATAAAATATAAAATATATAATATATAATATATAATATATAATATTATGTTATATTATAAACCATATATATATATACACACATATACATATATGCTCCCCCAGCTGAATACAGTGGGTTCAGAAGTAACAGATTTGGAGAAAAAGGTCAGTGTTAATTTGGTACTGCAGCATGGAAGGGGCTGTGCTAGCAGTAGAGAAGGGGCCTGCTATAGGGGGAACGGCTCAACAGGAAAGGATGAAGATGGGTCTGCACAGAGAGGCTGGAAAGTGAATGTACTCCAAGCTGGATGCTCTCAGTCTACACCTGGTGCCCTTGGTTTATCCTGTTGGGAAGTCCGCCAACTTCCTACGGGTTAGGCATGGCCTACAGGTTGGTTTACTACTCCCCTTTGAAGGCGAACTTTCTGGCCATTAAAAACATGTTTTTAGTAGCGTGTGCCTGGCTATGCAGTCAGATAGAGAGGGAGTGTTCATCTGGTTTAGGCAGTATGCTATGCCCTGAGGTTGTTCACACAGTGCGGGGGAGCGATTAGAGGAGATAGCCAACGTGTGAATTCCCCTTCACCATCACTTCTCAATGAACTACCTCTGGATTAGAGGCATTCTTCAATGAAACTGATAATCAAAGCGGATTTTTTTTAAAAAATCAGTTTATTTGGTCTTTTTCTGAAAAATAAACCTTTGTTTTTTTCTTGGAAATCTTTATTAATTGCTTGTCCTAAACATATGTGGATGTCTCAGAGATACTGGTCCCCTTTCCCCATATCAGACTGTGAACTTTCTTTAACCCAGCCCTTCCCATTCACAAAAATGCCTCTTTGACCTGAGTTATAAAGCAGTTAACCTTTCCACCTCCACATCTCTCATTCATATGCAATTCTTCCAAGAGACCTACATGACACAGGGCATCTGTATGGGTGAATACAAAGAGCAGTTAGACTTAACTATCTAACAACAATGCCTATTTTTAAAAGCCTTCAACATCTGAAATGTATTTTAGCATGTATAAAATATGACATTGCTGGGCATCTCTGCCTCTCACAGTGATTAGATATGCAGAGAACTGGGACAGCAGGCAGCCATGCTCACCTCTGAAAACTTTGGTGAAAACTTTGGGGTGAAGACACATGCAGGATTGTGACAGATACTCCTCCTAAAGAAGCTTAAAAAAGAAGAAATTAGGCTAAGCATCCCACTCCCTCTGTACTTATGTACTGTAAACTCTGTCCCTTGGTACAATAAAGAATCCCAAGAGACCATAATTATGTTTGGTTTCCTTGCAATCTCCCCAGATGGAGAGTTATGGACACAGTGTAATCCTGCCTTCTGAGCAGGAGACGCATCTTGCAGTTTTATGTGGTGTCACGCTTAATAGACCTCTAACACTGTCTGCTGCTTTTGGAAAGACTTTTGGAAAGAGTTTTTTTCCTTCACTGCCATAACCCTTAGATAAACATTTACTTCTAAAAAAAGCATCTCAAAATGGCTGTGTTTTGTGAATACAATATATGTGCTTTGCACAGACATAAATAATAGCAAAGACACAAGAGAAGGGAAGAAGCTACTCGAATACCTTTTATTTTGAGTAATATCAAATTTTCTGCTACCAGCTGCCATACAGCACACAGGTTCCCTCTGATGCATCCCAGGGCTTACACAGAAAAAATCAAGGCATGAAATAGGCCAGCAAATAGCATTAGTTCTCCTTTTGGCATCTAATATTTGGTGCCACCATATGTTGATCCCACATGCTGAGGCTTGTTTCCTTCATCTAATATTACCTTTTTCCCCCACTGCTGCTTTCATAGAAGATGAGAGATCTTAGTGCAGTGGCTCCTTCCATTTGTTCTGCTGGGCTCTGTTTGCTGCAATGGCATCATTATAAATCTCGTTAAATAGTCAAGGTCAAACCAGCAACTAAGATCTCCTGTATGTGGTTCTCTGTGGGTGACTAAATAAATGAAGATTTTGATAAATATTTGATGTCTTCTGAGAGATGAGAAGCAGCTTGCTTTGTTTTTACAGAAGGTCCTAGGCTAGCGTTGATTTTTAAGGAAACAGCCAGCCCATAAGATATGTTGAAAGGCAATCGTCTTAAATCCTGATGCTACAACACTGGCAGAGTTTCATTTAATGACAATGGTTTTGTTCATAGGATTTGTAGTTCCTGATTCATGAAATAATCTTACACTGATAGGAGCATTACTCTTCATCTGCAGAGGCAAGGTTTACCCCCGCCTTGCTCCATTTTCTACATGTGCTCTTGCATGGCTGAGCATCGGCTCCTATTAGTGCTCACATCATTAATGAGTAATACATGCAAAGAGTGGCAGACCTTTCTCCAACCAAAATCCCTGTGAAAACATGTCCATGGTTATGGCGTCCCCTTTCTGTCCTCAGGGGCCCCAAGAGGAGTAATCAGTTATTTGGGAAATCCCTTGCCTTGAGGGAATTCTCAGATAGCAGAGACCTGGCAA